CTGACAGATTGGTATAGAGAGTTGCAAAAAGTTCGGACAGACAGAATTAGTTAAAAAGAGCAATCTTACCATTTTGACAGATTTTTGTATGCAATTTCTTTTTTCATTCAACCTTGAGACACAAAATCGGACTGAAAAATTAGATTTTGCATGCAAAATATTTCCAAAATAGGTCAATTGCTCTTTTTAATTAATTTTGTCTGTCCGAACTTTTTGCTACTAATTATACTTTGATTTTTTATTGGTTCCAACTTTTGCATATAATTATAATTAGTAGCAAAAAGTTCGGACAGACAGAATTAATTAAAATGAGCAATCAGTGCTTTTCGACGCTTTTTTGCATGCAAAGTCTGAAGCCCAACAACCTTGAACTTTTTGTCAGGCCAAATTCAAAATGCGAGATCGTCGATTATTCGATGATTAAGCTAGCCTAATTTTTAAATACTGCTATGAGCATCCAGATTTTACTATAAAACATTTCGACGCTTCGGATGCAATTGCCCGCCGTGGTTATAGGTTTTGAGCTAAACTCGGATCTATTTAAGTACTCCCCCCCCCCTATTGTATTTACTAAATAATATCCACCCCTGTAAACATAAATATTAAATTCGTCCTAGAGCATTGTATGTAAAATTGAATTTTGCTGCATTCTGATTGTTCGAAAGTTCGCTGCAAGTAATCTAATTAAAAATCCCTCCCCCTTTCTTGAAATTGGGAATTGTTAAGTAGATCCCGAAACTCTGCTTTATGAAATTTCGATGTTATGTTTATTTCAGTTTTAATTTCCGTTGATGTCTAGACAGTTGCTCTTTTTAATTAATTCTGTCTGTCCGAAATTTCTGCAACTCTCTATACAAGGCTACCTAAAAAATTAATTATGAATGGAAAAGTTTCTCAAAATTGGCAGATAACTCTTTTTAATTTTTTCTGTCTGTAATTTTTCTGTCTTTAACTTGTTATCCCTACAGAGAGTTTGCAAAAAAATCAGACTGACAAAAATTCATAAAAGGAGCAATTGCATAGAGAGTTGCAAAATTTCGGACAGGCAGAAATAATAAAAAAGAGCAATCTGCCAATTTTGAGCAATTTTTGCATAAAAATTTGAATTTTTACGTGACATTGAGACAAACTTTCAGTCTTATAATTAGTAGCAAAAAGTTCGGACAGACAGAAATAATTAAAATGAGGAATCAGTGCTTTTCGACGCTTTTTTGCATGCAAAATCTAAAGCCGAGCAACCTTGAATTTTTTGTCAGACCAAATTCAAAATACGAGATCGTCGATTATCCGATGATTATGCTAGCCTAATTTTTAAATACTGCTATGAGCATCCAGATTTTACTATAAAACAGTTCGACGCTTCGGATGCAATTGCCCGCCGTTGTTATAGGTTTTGAGCTAAACTCGGATCTATTTAAGTACTCCCCCCCCCCTATTGTATTTACTAAATAATATCCACCCCTGTAAACATAAATATTAAATTCGTCCTAGAGCATTGTATGTAAAATTGAATTTTGCTGCATTCTGATTGTTCGAAAGTTCGCTGCAAGTAATCTAATTAAAAATCCCTCCCCCTTTCTTGAAATTGGGAATTGTTAAGTAGATCCCGAAACTCTGCTTTATGAAATTTCGATGTTATGTTTATTTCAGTTTTAATTTCCGTTGATGTCTAGACAGTTGCTCTTTTTAATTAATTCTGTCTGTCCGAACTTTTTGCAACTCTCTATACATCTTGCTTCCGAGCAACTTATTGAGAGCTTCTAAAAGTTCGGACAGACAAAACTTACTAAAAAGAGCTATGTCTACATTTCGACTGAATTTTACATCGAATTTTGATAATTTAGAAAATCTTGATATCCAATTTTAATCTGAAAACTTTGCTTTTGCATTCAAAAATTTCCCAGAAAATATCAATTGCTCTTTTTAATTAAGTTAGTTCTTCCGAATTTGTTCCTGCTGAAAACATTTTGTCATTTTACGAGGCAATGGGAAACTTGATAACGGCCCATCAACCTCCCAAGACCTGCAGTCAAGAGCTCCCATCAGGGCAAAGTCTCGAATCTTCCAATTGCCCTTTGTCTAATTTCTTTGCGGTAGAAAAAAAAGTTTCAGAGGTAACAAACTTAAAACGTGGTATCTTGATTTTTTTGGCCTCCTATATGCAATATCAAAATCTAAGTGGCAGAAATTGGTATAGCATCGAGTTATTGCAATCCCTGAGCTTATACTTCAGTAAAACTAGAAAACATTTTTAACGTAATTTTCTGCCGCTCACACGTTGAGTGTTTTAAACTGAAAAACGAGCAACGAACAATTTGAGAAAAAACAGAAAAATCATCGAACAGTTTTTGGAACAAAAACAGAAAAAACGATTTTTTAAAAAATCAAAACATTCGAAACTAAATACAATTAATTATCTTTGATAAAGCTATCGTATCATCTGACTACCTTGTAATTATAGCAATATCATCTTTGAGCGTTTCGTTGAATAATTTGCTTACAATTTCTGAAATTAATTCAGATGTTCTCTCGAGTGGTTTCAATGAATTTAGATAAAAAGCACCAACGAATCACTTCAAGATGAATTTATTACAAATTGCAGGGCAATCAGATGATATGGTCAACTTCTCAAACACAATACTAATTTATCAAACAGACAATTATTTTAATTAATCAATGTTTGTGAATACCAAAAGAGTAAAAACACGAATAAGTGTTGAAAAAAGGGTTTTGATGAAAAATGCTGTGAAAAATGGGTTTCAAAATCGCTGCTTAGACTAGAAGAAAAATGTTCATTTGAAGAGTCATACGAAGTTCAAGGAGACTCCGGACGTATGGCGGTTAATATAATCGATTCTCTTGGACTCAAACATCCATCAACTTCAACTGGACCTACATATTCCTCTGGTATTTCATCCAGATCTCATTACAATCAACTTTCTCAGCCCTTGATGGCTTCAGCTGCGTTTAAAACTCGAAATCAAAGAGATGTGTCTCAAACATCAGTAAGTGGAGGCGCTCGATCAGCCTCTCAGAACCCGACCCCAAGAAAGCAGCTTGTGAAAGGACGCAATAACGAAAAGCAAATAGAAGAATCGCAGAGGAATACCTTTGAGCTTTTAGGAACAACTTTAAGTCCTACAAAACCGCAGTGTGCGCCACAACGAGAGTCAGCTTTGAATACAGTACCAGGAGCATCTGCAATGCCTGCATATCCGACATCCGCGCAGATACAACCGACAGCACCTCCGAATCAATTGACATCACCTCTGACGCATCCGCTTTCTTCGGTGTTCGAAGGTAGCAACATTACTCTAGTTAGATCAACATCTCAAGAACCATTCGAACGCTCACTTCCAGTTTTGCCATCTAGAAAAAGTTCAGTTCCGAATCAGTACGCTTTGACCTCAGATGCACCAGTGCAGAAACCAAGTGAATCTACAACGAGAAGAGGATCGTATCCGAAGCAAACGCAAGCTGGATTTCAAGCAATGTTTGCCGACTCGAACAAATACTCTTCTCCAAGAAAACAAGTGAGACAAAACCAACCGCTGCCGTCGATTCATTTGTTACCTCAAAATGGAGATCCCCAAGAGTTATATCAGAAGCTGCTTCAGCTCAAGGAGCAAAACCCAACAGGTAGTCAAGCAGACTTGACGAAGTATGCGATACCTTCTAAAATTCCAGACTTCGGACACAGTAGGAGAGATAATAATCAACCAAGAGCAGAAGAACGATCGGATTCCCAGGAGCCGCCATACAAATCAATTCAGACTCAACGCGTATTACACCTGAAGCCCGAGCAGCAGCAGGACCAACCTTGGATACCCCGAAGAAAAAATTCATATCCGAACGCAATGCCAGTGCAAATTGAAGTCACAGGACCTCTTGCAGCCTCGAACACTTACTTGGAACAACTAGGCAAACAAAAATTTCAATTACCGGCAACTTCTGCAAGATTTGTTAGCTCAACGCCTCAGCAGCAATCTAAAAGGCCGAATGCACAATTGAATGCGCCAATGAATGCGCCAATGAATGCGCCAATGAATGCGCCAATGAATGCGCCATTGAATACGCCAATGAATGCGTCAATAAATGCGTCAATGAATGCGCCAATGAAAGCACCAAAGAATACGCCAAAGAATGCGCTAATGAGTGCGCCAATGAATGCGACAGTGAATACGCCGGCGAACGTGCCAATGACTCCAGCGACTCCTGCTACTGGGATGACCAATGGAACTGTCCAGGAGGAGACATCGAGTAAAAAGAAGAAGAAGAAGAATAAGAGGAGGAGAAACTGGAAGCCTCAGCTTCCAGATGCAGAAACGATGCAAACTTTGACTAAAACTAGAGCCGGTAAGTTTTCTTATTTCTTGCAAAAGCCTTCATAGAATTGGCTTCTGATCTTAATGTGGCTATACAACCCACCTCTCGACTTCTTCAATCACATAAGAAAACCTAAAAATAAAGTTTGTGGCGACGATTTTCGAGAGTCAGACGTTTTCGGAGGTCAGTCCTAAGAACTGGAACAGCGAGAAATATATCTTTTAATTTTGAACTTCAGCCAGTAAAATACAATTGTATGAACAGAGAACGCAAACTGTTAGTAAAATCAGTCTGCGTTGCATACGCTCGACTTACCGGCAATCTCTACTTTTGAACACCAGTACCGATTATCGATTTTTGCTGTCACTTTTTTTATTGCTTGAGGAAACAATGAACGAAAACAAAATCAAATCTTAAGCCCTTGGTTTTGAACAAACTTGAATATTTTTAATCTACGTTTTGACTACTTTGCTGTTTCGATTTTTTTTGCATCTTTTGTTCTTTGTCTTTTTTAAGTCTCTGTTTGTTATGATTTTAGCAGCCAGCAGAGGGGTGAACGCCAAAAAACAACCAATTGATCGAATAAAGCAAACTTATTTATCTTCAGCAGATAAACTGGATGAAATCAGAGAACGATTCGCTATCAAATATGCAAATGCAAGTGTTATGGGTGACATGTATTTCATGAACGTAACAGGAGAACAAACTCTAGGGGTGTGGTCACCATTCAATCCAGTCAGAGATGACTACTCCAGACAAATAGGACCTTATACGGTATAGTACATATGGTGGTCTAATTAGTAGCAAAAAGTTGGAACAGACAGAAAAAATTACTCTTTTTAGTATGCCAATTTTCAGCATTTTTTGCTTGCAAAGTTGAGTTTGTAGGTTATCTTGAGTCAAATTTTCTATCTGAAAAAATGAACTTTTGCATGTAAAGTTTTTCTGAAATAGGTCACTTGCTCTTTTTGTTCCGACCATTGAAAATAGAGAGTAAACTTTGTATTCGGGTGGTGTTTTAGTTTTTCTTTTTTTATTTGTTTTCACGCAAAATCAGGTACCAAAAGTAATCATCCAAATGGGTGGAGTGATACATCATAGTAGAGCCCGTTCAGTCGTGATACGAACTACATTAATATTTCATGAAAGTTTTTCAACAGTGTCCAGAAAAACTGGTGAAATTTTAATTTTTGGTCGAATTTCGAGCAAATAATGTGACCGTGTAGGCTGACAATAGCCTGTTTCAGCTCGAATTAACTTAGTTTTTTTCCACCTTTCGATACGAAAGTAACGGAATATTTGTTATCGGGTGGGTTGCTTAAATTTGAAAAGATATTTCACCTGTGATCATTTTTCATAAGGTTATGGGGGTTTAAACATTGCCATTTTGGCCAACTTGGGAAAATTACCGCGCGTTACATTTCGCACTATTAAAGCATTAGCGGAGACTTAATTCGTGTTAGAAATCGTTCCAAATTGGTTGCAAATAGCTTAATTGCCATAATTGGTTTGTTACAAGGAGCGAGATCTACCCTTTTGTACTTTATATGGCGTGTGAGTGGATGATTTTCATTAAAAAAAATGCCAAATTTTAGAATTTTTTTTTTTGTTCCGACTTTCGATACGAAAGTAACGGAATATTTGTGCTCGGGGTGGGTTTTTTTTTTTCAGACAAATTTCGACTTTTTAACTAGCCATTTTTGACGGAATTTTTTTACATCATTCGAAAGGTATTGTTGTCCTGAGCTCAAATTTGAAAAGATATTTCACCAGTGATCATTTTTCGTAAAGTTACGGGGGTTTAAAGACTGCCATTTTGGCCAATTTGGGACAATAAACGCGCGATATATTTCGCGCTATTAACGCGTAAGCGGAGATTTAATCCGTCTTAGAAATCGTTCCAAATTGGTTAAAAGAAGCTTATGTGCCATAATTGGTTTGTTACAAGGAGCGAAATCTATCCTTTTGTTATTTGTATGGCGTGTGGGGTGATGATTTTCATAAAAAATTTCAAATTTTAGAAATTTTTTTTTTGATTTTTGTTTTGTTTCATTGAATTTTTAAAAGTTGTTACTGCTCCATAAACCCTAAAAGGCAGTCGGAACACTCAGGGCTTCGCCCTGATACGAGCAGTCTTGTTTCATTTTGTTTTCATTTATTTTTTCCATGTTATTACTGCTCCATAGAATTTAAGAGGCAGTCGGAGCATTCAGGGCCTCGCCTTGATACGAGCAATCTTGTTTAATTTTATTACTGTTCAATAAACCATAAAATGCAGTAGGAACATTCAGGAACTGCAGATCTATATATAGCTTTTAACGCATTATATTTCTGAAATAGTTCTGACCTTTAAATTTAAACTAAATTGTTATACTTTTTTGAAGTTTTTCCGTTTTCCTTTTCCGGATTTTATGTAATGTTTGTGGTCTGAAAAATTGCCTGGCATTGCTCAGTTTGCATTGCTCTTTTGTCAATTCAAATGCAATTTTGAAAGGTCCTAATTGTTCCGACTTTCGATACGAAAGTAACGGAATATTTGTGCTCGGGGTGGGTTTTTTTCTTCAGACAAATTTCGACTTTTTAACTAGCCATTTTTGACGGAATTTTCTACATCATTCGAAAGCTATTGTTGTCCTGAGCTTAAATTTGAAAAGATATTTCACCTGTGATCTGTTTTTGTATAGTTATGAAGTTATGGTCATTCAATTGTAACGCGTTAGGTTGTTGCTTTGGCTACCAAAGAATCCTATAAACAGCAACAAAAAACGGAATTATCTGAGTCAAACGTCTTCATTGGAAAGCTTAGCCCTCAAATAAGAACCCAGCTATGAACTAAATGATTTTAGAAAAAAAATAGGTATTGTTGCCCTGAGCTCAATTTTGAAAAGATATTTCACCTGTGATCATTTTTCGTAAAGTTACGGGGGTTTAAAGATTGCCATTTCGGCCAGTTTGGGACAATTAACGCGCGTTATATTTCGCGCTATTAACGCGTAAGCGGAGAGTTAATCCGTCTTAGAAATCGTTCCAAATTGGTTAAAAGAAGCTTATGTGCCATAATTGGTTTGTTACAAGGAGCGAAATCTATCCTTTTGTTATTTGTATGGCGTGTGGGGTGATGATTTTCATAAAAAATTTCAAATTTTAGAAATTTTTTTTTTGATTTTTGTTTTGTTTCATTGAATTTTTAAAAGTTGTTACTGCTCCATAAACCCTAAAAGGCAGTCGGAACACTCAGGGCTTCGCCCTGATACAAGCAGTCTTGTTTCATTTTGTTTTCATTTATTTTTTCCATGTTATTACTGCTCCATAGAATTTAAGAGGCAGTCGGAGCATTCAGGGCCTCGCCTTGATACGAGCAATCTTGTTTAATTTTATTACTGTTCAATAAACCATAAAATGCAGTAGGAACATTCAGGAACTGCAGATCTATATATAGCTTTTAACGCATTATATTTCTGAAATAGTTCTGACCTTTAAATTTAAACTAAATTGTTATACTTTTTTGAAGTTTTTCCGTTTTCCTTTTCCGGATTTTATGTAATTTTTGTGGTCTGAAAAATTGCCTGGCATTGCTCAGTTTGCATTGCTCTTTTGTCAATTCAAATGCAATTTTGAAAGGTCCTAATTGTTCCGACTTTCGATACGAAAGTAACGGAATATTTGTGCTCGGGGTGGGTTTTTTTCTTCAGACAAATTTCGACTTTTTAACTAGCCATTTTTGACGGAATTTTCTACATCATTCGAAAGCTATTGTTGTCCTGAGCTTAAATTTGAAAAGATATTTCACCTGTGATCTGTTTTTGTATAGTTATGAAGTTATGGTCATTCAATTGTAACGCGTTAGGTTGTTGCTTTGGCTACCAAAGAATCCTATAAACAGCAACAAAAAACGGAATTATCTGAGTCAAACGTCTTCATTGGAAAGCTTAGCCCTCAAATAAGAACCCAGCTATGAACTAAATGATTTTAGAAAATAAATAGGTATTGTTGCCCTGAGCTCAATTTTGAAAAGATATTTCACCTGTGATCATTTTTCGTAAAGTTACGGGGGTTTAAAGATTGCCATTTCGGCCAGTTTGGGACAATTAACGCGCGTTATATTTCGCGCTATTAACGCGTAAGCGGAGAGTTAATCCGTCTTAGAAATCGTTCCAAATTGGTTGAAAGAAGCTTATTTGCCATAATTGAAATGTTGCAAGGAGCGAAATCTATTGTTTTGTACTTTATGTGGCGTGTGGGGGGATGATGTTCATAGAAACTGTTTCAAAAGTCTGAGACGCAGTCCGATGAATTTGTTAAAAGCTATGTATAATTAGTAGCAAAAAGTTCGGACAGACAGGTATAATTAAAATGAGCAGTAAGTGCTTTACGGCGCTTCTTTGCATGCAAAACCTGACGCCGGAAAACCTTGAATTTTTGGTCAGACCAAATTCGAAAAGTAAGATTGTCGATTATACGATGATTATGCTAGCCTAATGTTTAAATAATGCGATCAACATGCAGATTTACTAAAAAAAGTTAGCAAATTTAGTTTAAAAAATCGAAATCTAGTATTATTTTTAACAAAAAAAAACAGATTAGGCCGTTCAAAAAAAAAGCAAGCGGAAATAAGAAAATGATAAAATCATTCAAAATTTGGAAATTAAGCGTGAAAAAGGTTTTAGCCACCTTGAGCAATAATTTTTCTGTTTCAAGGTTTACTATTCGACGCTTCGGATGCAATTGCCCTCCGTGGTTATAATTTTTGAGAGATACTCTGCTATATGAACTTTCGACGTTATGTTTATTTTAGTTTTAATTGCCGTTGATGTCTAGAAAGTTGCTCTTTTTAGTTATTTCTGTCTGTCCGAACTTTTTGCAACTCTCTATAAACGAGTCGAATAGAAATATAGGTACCGTTTAAGCCAGCCGCAAATTACGTAAAGTTAGTGAACCTTTATTAGGACGGCTAAATTGTTTTGCTGAGCCATCCCAGAACACCAAAAAACCCAATTTAGATCAAATTATCCGCACTTGAGTCAAACTTTAAATTTTTGGGCTTTTTTCAATAAGTTATAAGTTTTGAACAAAAAACTGTCGCGTTTTTTGACGCGCGCTCCCCATAATAAAAATCGGCGAATGGACGAAAAGTACGATAGGGGGGGGGGGGGGGGGGGTTACTTTGGATCGTTAGGGGGTCAACGATCTGAGAGGGGGCGTCCAAAGCAACCCAGCCGCCTCGTCCTTCCTAAATCCGCTTCTGTTGTATATTGTGACAAGTTTGTTTTTGGTTTGGTTGTTAGTTGATCATATATTAAAGGCCTAATAACGGAACTTTTGGGCGATCAAGGGGTTATTTTCCTGAAAGTGAATCGTCAGCCTTCACTGCTTTCTTTCTATACTTATTCGGTATGGGTAAGAAATTCGGTATGGGTAAAGTTCTGGCTTTTCTAAATTATTTTATATGATTAACTAATCCAACTTTTTATGATTAGGGGGCGGACGTTCCTCCCCCTCAGGGATTCGACCCCCTGGCGACCCAAAGAGTCCCCCTTTGTACTACTTTAAGATATCCATTGTTGGTGACAGACACTATTTTTTTTTCTAAATCGACAAACCGAGAAAGTTTAAAAATTACAAAGGACAAGTCGAGAAATCCTAGATCAGCCCCTGAACCAATCTGTTTTTTTTTTCTTGATTCTTGACTATGTTTTTATTTGCTAGCACTTTACTTCAAGTCATTTATAGTTTCAAGGTTTTTAGGGCCTCTCTGGGAGAGATGTAGCTCAATAGAAGTCCTTGATACGTTCTGTTCCCCTCATGTTTTTGTAATAATTAGTAATAGTAAAAGTAATTGTAATAGTACTGTTTCAGTGCAAGAATTTTTTTGTACTATCACATCGAAATGAATTCAAGCTGAGCACGATTTTGTTTCAGGTGTGTTGTTGGGATTCGTTCTTGCAAGAATGTTCCGAGGAGGGGGTTAAATTCGGAGACCCACAGAGTGTGCCTTTGTATGAGTTTTCGAGTAGTTCTACTGTTCTGCCTCTCTCGCCCTCGGACAAACTGAACGAGCCCCGCTTGATGTACTATCTGCCCGCTGGTTTTTACACCCCATACGAGAACCCGTTGGATGACTCTATTATCAGGTTACAGTTTAAAAAAAAACGATTTTCCACATTTCCACAGTTTTTCCACCTTAATTTGACTTTTTTGACTGTTTCCCACCTTTGCCGACAGAATTAGATGTTTTGCGCGAGAAAACTGATTTTAATACTATTCCATGAATGAAATCAAAATGGGGGAGGTTGTTATGGGTTTGGGATGCGTTGCTGTGATCGTATTTTTTCCACAGGTATTTAGGAAATCTGCAGCTCGGGCCTGAACTTGGCATGAGTGTATATCAGATAAAGTCTGGCTTGTTCCATTGCAATGGACGCCTATGGCTCTTTCCAGACGCTCTTTTTCTCGGCCAATTGAAAGGCGCGATTGTAAGAAGCAGAGTTTGGACCAGTTATGCATCTCTGCTCTACCAGAACGTATTCAAAAAGGAAAATATGTTTGGTTTCGACTGGCTCCAAACTGCTATCAACACCGGAGTAAGTAATTTTGTTTTACCAAGGATTTCCGTCTCTTTGAAACACTTTTTAATAGTCTATTTCCAGCCAACTCGGGCTCAACCTGGCATGGTCAGGGCTTTTCAAAAATTAACTGAATTTTAAATTAATTGCAATTAATTGAATTTTTAACTAATTGTTGGGCATGCAATTATTTCAATTAAAATTTTCTCATGCCCAGTTAACTGCAATTAATTAAGCTGATTTAACAATCGAAGAAAAGGCCGCTGTTGAGTCTCTGAACTATAATGACATCTATAACAAATAGCGACATCTGAACTTTTCATTGATAATTGCAATTAATTGCAGTTTAACTTTTGTTTTTTTTTCAGTTATTTGATAATTAATTGCTGAACATCCAATTAACTGCAATTTAATTGTTTTGATCTCAATTAATTTTTGAAAAGCCCTGGTCTGGACGCGGTTTCTAACACTCGTGTCAAAAATTATTAACCAAGCGTGATTTTTCGGGCTTGCAATTAATTGTACGGATCAAGTTAACATCCTCCCCCCTAAACACGTTTAGGGGGAGGATGTTAACTTGGTTCTAAGTTGGGAATTTTCAGCCAATCAGAATCGAGCATTTTACATGCAGCGCTTAGCAAATTTAATTTAATTTAAGCGCTGGGGTGGAGGATTTTTACTTGGTCTATTAGGGGGAGAGGATGTTAACTTGATCCAATTGTACAATTAATTGCAATTTAATTTTGGGTTTGTTCCAATTAATTGATAATTGATTTTTAACATTCCAATTAATTGCAGTTAAATTTTCAGTGTTCCAATTAATTTTTGACCTGCCCTGGGCATGGTTGCATGGTTCAAAACCGACGACGGTAAATTGAGTACTAAATTGTTAATGGTATCAAGCAAATATTTTTTGCGTAAATACTGGTTTACTTATCAAACATATTAGTTCTATGTCAAAATGAGGTGTCATCTAAGAAAAGTAAATACCGTCTTTGATACTTTGTTATAATAATTATTGTATTTGTCCCGAGTTGTACTCACAGCAAAATTCAGAGCTGCCGTCTTTGATACTTTGTTATAATAATTATTGTATTTGTCCCGAGTTGTACTAGCACCAAAATTTAGCTGCTGAATCAGTTTATTTTAATAAATTGGCACCTATGTGTCAGGCTCTCATCAGTGGCACTTCAAAGCTGATCAGTACTGATTCGAGCGCCGATTCAGAGCGGTAAATGCAACAAACAAGAGCTATTAATCAGCAACGAATCAGCAAAAAAATCAGCGCTGAACTTCTCTTTTATAGATTTGCATCGATAAATATGGCTCTAATCGGCAACTTATAAGCACTAATCAGTACACAATTTGCGCTGATTCAGCGTGAAGTTTCCTTAAAAATCAGAGTTGATTTATATTGTTAAATCGGTTCAATTGCAAAAACTGATATCGATGAATATGGCTCTGATCGGCCACGTAGTTTGACTCAGAGTGAAAATACCATTGAAATTAGAAATGAGCTATAAATGTTAGATCAGTTTAAATGCAAAGATTGACTTCGTTGAATGACTTGTCTGATCGGCCCCATATAAGCACTAATCAGTACTGATTAAGCGCCGATTCAGCGTAAAAATCCCATCAAAATTAGAACTGAGTTATATAGTTGGATTAATTTAAATCAACAACAATATCGACGAGTTTGGCTCTGATCAACCCCTCATATGCATTAAACAGTACTGATTTAGCGCTGATTTAGCGCTGATTCAGCGTAGAAAAAAAACCATTGAAGTCAGAAATAACTAATAGTGTTGGATCAGTTTAAATGCAAAGATATTTACAATAATACATATGGCTCTGATCAGCCTTATAAAAGCAACAATGAGCACTGACTTTGGGCTTATTTAGCGTGAAAATTCATTGAAATCATTGAATCAGAGTTACATTGTTGCATCAGCTTAATTGTAAAAATTGTATCGATGAATCAGGCTATGATCAAAGCAAAATTACCACTAATCAGTTCTGATCCAGTGCTGTATATACCCTAATAAAGGGGGGTCGGAACAATTAATCTCAAATGAAACAAGACTGCTCGCATCAGGGCGAAGAAAAATTTGAGTTTTTTTTTGAAAATCATCCCCCCACACGCCATTTAAAGTACAAAAGGATAGATTTTGTTCTTTATAACAAATCAATTATGGCAAATAAGCTTCTTTCGACCAATTTGGAACAATTTCTAAGACGGATTAACTCTATATCGCGCGTTAATTGTCCCAAATTTGCCCAAATGCCAATAATTAAACCCCCATAACTGTACAAAAAATGATCACAGGTGAAATGTCATTTCAAATTTGAGCTCAAGACAACAAGATCTTTCGAATGATATAAAAAAGCTCCGTCAAAAATGGCTAGTTGAAAAGTCGAAATTTGTCTGAAGAAAAAAACCCACCCCAAGCACAAATATTCCGTTACTTTCGTATCGAAAGTCGGAACAACAATGATTTTACAACTACCTATTAACTAAAATACTGAATATATATATATTTTATTTTTGATGCCATGTAACGATATGCATCAAAAACTGTTTAAAAAAATCAATTCTATCATTTTTTTTTTGATTTTTGATTTAAAACTCAGACGGCAGCATGAATAATACACGAAAATATACTTGAAAATTTTATAAACCCTTAAAAAGTGCAAATCATGCAGTAGCCCTGAAAAAACAAAAATTGCGGTTAAAACGTAAGCAACGACATTTTCCATAGACCAAAACAATGATTCTAGACTGGCCTCGTATATCCAACAGTTTTTCTATTTTTCCGGTTTTTACACCTTTTTCTGCCCTGCTCAAAAAAATTAAACAGAAAAAATGCGATGCTAAAATTGAGTTGCTAAAAATTTCTTCTATAGAATCTTCACTAGTAATATGAGTTTTTATTTGTTTTGAGCTTTGTTTTTTATAAAATCAATAAATTCATCATTTTTTGTAGTTAAGGCAAAAAAATCATCGCACATTTTTAAGAGCGACATCTTTAAGAAAACGGACTAGTCGTAGTTATTTTTTATAGCTACATTTTATAGGTAGATTTTAAAAACACTTTAAATATGAAATGAACTTGTTTTAGCATTTGTTTTAGTTTTATACATTTTGAGAAGATTTTAGTACTGTTTGTGTAAAATTCTGCAAAAAAATGGAAAAAATGAGAGCATTGAACATGAGGAAAACCCTTTTATTACAGATACTGGTGATCTTTTTTCTTTTTTCCATGAGAAAATCACGGTCAAATTTGAAAATATAAATTTTGATCAGGCTCAATTATGATTTTTTTTGCGGTTGCTATTGATTTATTTTAAGTTCACTACCTTTGTATATTAGATGATCCGCATATAATTTCGAAAAAGAATAATTATTATTAGATTTTCCAATATTACGTGGCCAAACTGTGCATTAGATGGGCGCACAAATTGAAAAGTGTAAGTCTCTGGAAGCCAGACAAGTCGTACAAAAAATAATTTTTTGTCGGAACGAGCAAAGATAACGAATGAACGAAGGAAGATCAAAGAAAGGGATCTTGTTGCGTAACCCGGTTATAATTCACATAATACATAGTTTGGCTGCCTACACAAATTATAAATGATTGAAATAGAAATTTTACCTGGTGACAGAGTCTTCTCAAATTGGGTCTTATCAAAAAAGCACCCATCAAAAAAAAAACTCGAAAGTGTAAGTTTTTTCAGAAAACAACTCAATTTTTTGTTTCCTTGCGTTCATAACTGTTTTTCAACGGTCCTACTCCATTTATCCAACTGATGGCAAAGTTTGCAGCTGGATGTCATCGTTCCTATTTTTTTTTGACTTGACTCAATTGTTTTTGTGGCAATTTTAGCAAAAAAACTATCAGACAGAAACTAATGACTTGAACAGTAAAATTAAAATTTGATTATTGATTTTAACGCCTCATACACTGAATGATAAAAGTCAGTTTCATATCACAGATTGTCCACTATTTAGACCACTGTTGAAAACTTAGTATTTTGAACATGAGCAGCTCAAAATTTGTTTTTTTTCCAAGTAATTATTTTGTTTTTATATTATATAATCAGTACCGGATTTAGGAGGGGGTGGCGGAGGGACTTTTTTTGCAGGATTTCGACCCCAACTCCGCCCCCCCCCCCCTGCCGACCCGAAGAGTCTCCTCCACCTTTACACTATTTCCATATATTCAGTTTTGGCTGACTGGCCTTAATTTTTTCTAGAGGCACCTTTGGCGCCAGTATATATTAATTCTAAGGGGTGAGAGCGCGCCAGAAAAGCTAATTTTTCTGGTCTAATTTTCCAAAAAGTGCCAAAAAACACTTTTTCAAAAATTTGCCTGCGGCGCAAAAACGTGGTCACATTACGGGTCTTCAACAGCTCAAAGTAAATTTGGTCGACCTAAAAAAGTAATCAAACTCCATTCCAGTATTATGCGTTTTAGTTCACGTCTTTCGCGAACAAGTTTAGACACGACTTGGCTCCAATAAATGACTTTTATGAGGGAGAACTTCGTACTAGCAAACAGGTTTCCGGGTATGCATTGTTTCGAACTGAGCTGATGAAGAGAGAAAAACGCGGAACGGCTATAGAAGATCATAACCTGGTTCTCAAATGGTTTGCTTACTATTTCAAAAGTATCCGACAAATGTTACCTTTATTCAATGACGAAGAACCTGATGAGGATGATCGATACTTCCTGCTTGACTTGTTTTTCTACGGCTTCTACGGATTGAAAAACTGGAGATGGAGTAATGTTCCATCCAGAGAACGCGCCATGGATTTCTTTGACCAAAGATTGCAACAATTGACCAGGGATGCGTTGGATAAAGCGGCGGCGATAGGTGAGGCAACGCAGGAAACGGCGACGGGTTAGCAACAGAACTCGATCCAGGAACAGAATTCAAATCTCTAATTGGATCCGAATGATCACTGGATCGCCTTAAAATAAAACAAGAAATAGCAAGACGACTGTTTAATCAATTCCTACATAGAATTAAATAACGGAAATTAATAACTATGAAACTGAGAAATCGGTTAACACATGAAATTCAAATTGCTTCAGAATAACATTTTAGTATAAAAATCGGGTATGTTTAACCCTTATAAACCAAATAAAGCTAAACCTTTTTGGTGCATGATTTCCATGGAAAATTAAAAGTGAATTAGTTTACAGTTTGATAAAAACCTTTTCTGAGAAATAAAACACCAACACCAGATAGTGAGAAGCTAAAGCTTACTAAAATCAAAAATGAGTGTTTTGCGCCTACTTATTATTTTTTGGACAAAGTTTTGGTTCCGACCAATGGAAATGAAGAGAAAGTTTGTATTCGGGTGAGTTTTAATTTTAAAACGCAGAATCAGGTGCCACAATTAATCATATCGGACTGGAGTGAGTGATATAATTTTTTAAAGCACTTCCTGTCGTGATTCGATCAAAATAAATAAAGTGCAAAACTTTCTGGAGTCGACAAAAAACTGATTCGAATTTTTTGACGTTTGGTCAAACTTGGAGCGAGTAAAGCGAACGAGCAAGTTTACTATAAGAGGATACGCCCTAAAATTGAAAATTAAAAAAAAAAAAACATTTGTGTTTTGAAGTTTTAAAGCGCCTTTTTCGTAATAAAGAACTTTGAAGTTTTGCTGGATCATATTTTTTCTAGTCACTTTGTGACAAAAGCTGTTGCACGATATGCTTAATTAACGGTGATTTTCGAATCTACCTTGTTTTAGGTCTCCATCCTACCTTTTCTTCACACCACACACAAAAAAAAAATTTTTAGCTTTGTTTCGAATTAAACTTTTTTAAGGTTGTTGTCGGAACTTTCTGTGCTACCTCAAAGCAACCGGCCATTTGTTTTTAATCTAGATTTTTTCTATGTTTTTTTTCTTGATTTCGTGAGAAGCGTTCTTATGTTGGAGCAATAAAAAGTTGAGACTACTGTTTTTAAGGCAAGTGTTTTTGAAAACTGGATTAGAATTGTTTCAACAAAAAATTAAAACTAAAATAACTTTAGCACTATAAACACTCAGTTCATTCTGATGATTTTGTAGTTTACCCAGAGGCGGATCTAAAATTTGTCTGAGGGCAAGGAATAATTTTCCGAATTTTTCGAAATTTGCGTCGACCTTTTTTTAAGATATCGCCCACAATGATTTTTCGAGAACACTAAAATGACCCAATTTTGTCAATAAATTTTGAGCTGCATGCAAGTGGTTGACTAAAAAAAGAGCAAATTTGCTTTTTGGGCACCTTTTTAAACTGTTGACCAAAAAATGTTTCTGTGCGCTCTCCTTGGAACTTTTTTGGATTGATTGGCCGAAAAGGGGTGCTATTAAATCAAACAAAAAGCGTAACCTTTTGGTTGATGAGGTGGTCGAATCTCTGGGAAAAAGAAGCGTCTGCCGCACCCCCAGCATTGCCGATATTAAGCGTTTCAGCCGACTCAAACCATGTCAAGTCAAATATTTTTGGGCCAAAATTGTTTTCTGATAATAGCATTGAAAAATCGGAGAGTTTTTTGAAGGAGCAAAGCCTGTGCCTCAAAAATGAGCAATAATTGCGCAATACTTTATTAATTTCAATTACTAAACTCTGATTTTTTTTGGATTCACTCAATAAGAAAATTGTCATTCTTGGACTTTGGTTCAATCAGTTATAGCTGTTCACCAGAAATCGTTTAACCGAACAAAGGAGTTTGACATATTTTTACAGCATAACGAAATATCTTTGTTATGATCTGAAATTAGACCAATTTTTGTCAGTTGAACTATTTAAAAAAATGCGCGAAACCACCCTTAAATCTGAATAAAAACCTGATGTTTCTAAAAAACAACTCTTTGTTTTTCATTTTGCAAGTATGTTTTGTAGTAATTTTGAATGATTTAAAAATCAGAAAAGTAAGCGAAGGAACATAAAATTGTAGTTAACATAGTCGTTCTTAATTTTCTGAGATTTTATAGTGGACCGAATTATCTGCTGTTTTTTGTTAAATTCTATTCGTTACACCAGCAAAACTTGTGCGATATCATGAAATCTCTTTTTTTTCCAACGCAAGTCGCAAATGTTAGTGCTCATTTTGAAAGTGTTCTTTTTGATCAATAACCAGCTATTAAGTACACATTGCTGAAAAAAGGCTGAGGATACTAACACAGATAGTTATATTACCGCGTGTGTACAAAACAGCCCCATACAAGACAGACCAATACAAAACAGTCCGGAAAAGTATAAAACTGAACAAAACAACAGTCCGACAAACAGTCCCAAGTAATGATTGTTTGAACAAGCCGGTAAGCCTAGAATTGCCTTTTGTTCAACAAACATAACAAAATAGTGACCGCCGCAGTCGCGCCAACGTGTTGCGAGTGTGCCAACAGAGGGTAGGGTTTAAAACAAAGTTCAGAGCCGGTTATTGCCGCGAGGCAGCAACGCACGCGCAGCGCGCCGACCGGCAACCTTAAACCGGACTGTTTTGTATTCGACTGTTTTTTGCTTCATCAGATCATTTTTTGGACTTTTTTTGGACTGTTTTGTATTTTGCTTCATTACAACATTTTTTGGATTTTTTGTATTGTACTGTTTTGTCTGGGACAGTTTTGTAAATGCATTCATATTACAAGTATCACTTTAGCTTTAAGTATCATAAATCTGTAGCGTAGAGACTCGCAACAAAAAAGGACAGTTCGAACCTGGGCAGGGTCGGATGTTTCTGAGGCAACTAAGCTATTAAATTTCTGTTACTATAACTGGTACTGCTAATGCATCACACTTCGCTTGCGTCACATAGCAATTATAAAGACTCATTATTGGCGTGGGTCACTTGAAAGATTTTGTAGACTCAAACTTTTACTGATTCAGTTTTACCAGTAGCGTATTGGTCATAGTTTTGCTTGTGTATGCGAAGAGCAGCATCGCCTGTGTGTTAAAATTATATATCTATTGATGTTAATAATTATATGAAAAAGCCTTGTTTCGCCCGCTAAGTGGAGAGATTTCAATAAACCAGAATTATAACCGCAAGACCAACTGAAATAATTGCACCTTTTAAATGAGAGAATAAAAAAATACTGCAATTCCTGCCTGCCAATTTTTTTATAGAACCTTTTCCCAAAAAATAATTTTGCTGTTTCAACAAAAAATAGGCAAAAAATTTCAGAAGGCTCAAAACATTCTAGAAGCAACTCGTCAACTAAAATTAGGCAAAAAATTAGACTGCTCAAAACATTCTGCAAGCCGTTTATAAGTTGCCATCTTTGATATCAAACCGTAATCAAATAAAAGAATTATTTGCTTAATAACAGTTGTCTTGGTAACCAATCAAGATTCATGACTGAATCTTTAGCATATCGTTGACAAAATAAAAAAAAACATTGCCTTTTGACATTGAAACTTTTGATTTGAAATTGATCCTTGGCAATCAAATGATTTTAGCTAGTTCCTCATATAAAAACAGGTTTTTTTAAACACTCGTTTGAGCTGAGTTCTTATTTGAGGACCTGGCTAAGACCTTGAACTTTTAAGGAAAAACGTTTGGTTCCAATAATTCTTTTTTTTCGCTATTAAAAGGGACTCTTTGGCGCCCAAAAGAACAATTTGCCGCGCTTCGTTCAAATGAGTAAACAAAGACTTGATTTTTTATTTGCCAACTTCTTGGAGAAACCTCGTTCAGGTACGATTCGAATTTTTGTGCAGGTGTTTTTTCCCGCTGATTCCTACCTATGCATGGAAGAAGAAAGGATCTGAACCGCTTCATTTGTACTATCCTTCTGGGTTCCTTTTTAAATGCGTTTCAAACTACCTGCTCTGCGTCTCAGTACATCACCAGGCCAAACTGTGCACTGGATAGGCGCACAATTTTGGGTCTGTATGTTCCTGGACTCCAGAGACTAATTTTTAAACATGTTCCAAACTTTAAGTAGATTCCACCTACAACATTTCTCTGGATTCCGCGTACAAATACCTGTAACGTAAATTTTGTCGGCACATTTTTTTTGTCGCGGATTCCGCAACAAGAGAACATAGCTAGTAGTTCTGGATTCCGCAATTGTAAATATGTTCCGGAAATGTAAGTGGATTGCGCAAATTTATGCGGATTCCGCTTACAATTTGCTGATTCCACTTACAACTTGCGGATTCAGTTTACGATTTGCGGATTCCACTTAGAGTTGCGGATTCCAAGACAGCTTAAATTTACTAAACACATAAATTATTTTTTGTTTGTGGATTCCACAAATTGTTCCGGATTCCGCAAACTTCGTTGAGATTCCGCAGAATTGCCTGTTTCTGGAGCAATTTCAAGCAATACAGTGTTTTAGCTATTTTTATTGTGGAATTCAAAACAGCAAAAAAGATCAAAGAAAAGAAACAATGTTGTGGATTCCGCAACAAATCTGGTTTTGGCCTGGTCCGGAATCAGCTTATAATGCACAAAATGCACAGTTTGGCCTCGTAATGTAAAACCTGAATGAGTCTCAAAGTGTCCTAAATGCATCTCAAATAAACTTAATTACGTCTGAAACTAAGCTAACTGCATCTCAAATTAACTGAACTGCATCTCAAATAATTTAAGTACATCTCAAACTACCTTAATTGCTTCTCAAAGTAACCTAAATGGGTCTAAAGTTAACTCAAATGCGAATCAAACTGACTGATTTGCGTCTCAAACCAAATGATTCGAGTCTCAAAATACTCTTACTGCATCTCAAACTAAATTTGTTTCGTCTCAAAATTTATTTACAGCTTTAACAAATCTGAGGTTATTAGATGCGTTGCAAGAGGTACTCAGCTAATGGATTTGTGTCATCTGCGCTGTACATTTGCTTCACTTGACAATTGCGGTTTCTTTTGAGGCGAAATCGTCAAGTGTTTTGTTCTTTTTTGTTTAAAATAAAAAAGGTTCTCCTTTTAAGGTAGGCGATTAACTTGGGCATTTGATTTCAAAGCTCAAAGTAAAAAATACTACACATAAATAACGTGTATGAAACAAAACGTGTATGACTCCAAAAGAAAGGAATCAAACTGACATGGAGGCTGTT